CAGGTAGACGTCGGGGGAGGGAGGAGCCGGACGTTTATATAGACGTCCGGCTTGGCACAACGGACGTCTGTATAGACGTCCGGCCTAAGACAACGGACGTCTATATAGACGTCCGGTCTGGCACAACGGACGCCTGAGTAACGTCACCCACAAAGACGTCGGGGGAACGTCGGACGTCAAAAGGCCAAAAGAACGGACATCTAAAGCCCTTTCTGCACTAGTGATCAGTCAGAAGCTACTTATATAATAACAAATAGGTTTAATAGGTTCAGAGGTCCCTATATTTGTGGGTTCGTTTCAATTGGGTCCTCCAATTTTGAAAGTGATCAATTGGGTCCCTAATTTGGTAAATGTGATTAAATAATAGGATCGTCGTCAAATGCAGTTAACGACGTTAACTTTGTTATCAAGTGGCAAGTTGAGGCATCCAAGTGGCATCCTTCGTGGATTTTTAATATTTTTAGTTGTTAAATATATTAATAAATGAAAATATAATTAGAAATTATTAAACATATTAAATTATTAAACATATTAAGCAATGTTTCCTATTTTGGGGTAGCTTCTATCTGAGAAATTGGGGAAATCTGCAAAGTTAGGGTTCGTTGCTGGAAATGACATTGTGCTAGCATTTGGGGAGCATCGCTTTTGCGTGAGAAATTACTTAGACATAAGCTTTCGTTGCATAAAATTGTGGTGATCTATCGGTGGTTTTGAGTAGAAGCTTGTAATTTTTGGCGGTGAATCACGTGGAAGAGTTTCACGAAGATCGTTGGAGGTGTAGCACGTGTCCAGGTTAGTAAATGTTTACTTCTTTGTATAATTTTGACAATGATGCATGGTCAGTCGTGGTCCCCCATGTTCGAATTGGTGTGGTAGTGTGTTATTTATTTTGTTATAGAAATTGGTGTTGAAAGTGGTCCCCCATGTTTGAAGTGCCGTAGTAGACCGTAATTGTTGTTGTGCTTTATATTGGTGTTTCAATGTTGCAATGTTGCAATGTGGTGCCCCATGTTTGTTTCTTGTGCTTTTTGTTTTGTTTAAGTTATGTTGTAGTTGGTCCCTGTGTTTCCTTGTCCTGCTTCTAATTTTATATAATTTTTGTTGTTGTTGTCGTCTTATTATTTTATAGGATATATACTGTTATAGTGTATTACATGGAGGATCATTTTGAAGTTGTTTTCCACCATGGAGGTCACTTCATAAACGATGGGCCACTTAAATATGAGGGGGAAAGTACAACTCTGTCTTTTGACCCAGACGTGTGGAGTTACTTCATTATAGTCAGTGTAGTAAAAGGACTTGGATATGATGGATTTAAGGAGTAGTGGTATTGTGTAGGGGGGGGGGGTTCTGTGTTAGATGATAGATTAGAGGCTTTGTCTGATGATAGAGGAGCCATGCAGATGATGAACTTAGCTAGGCTAAATGGAGAAGTTCATTTATTTGTTGTTCACACCGTGTATGAACCTGAGATCGTACACTTGTTAGAAAATGTTCCACATAATATTGCTTCAGACCAAGTTCATTGCTTGAGACCAAAATAAGAAACATTGCTTAATATGTTTAATAATTTAATATGTTTAATAATTTCTAATTATATTTTCATTTATTAATATATTTAACAATTAAAAATATTAAAAATCCACGAAGGATGCCACCCGGATGCCTCAGCTTGCCACTTGATAACAAAGTTAATGTTGTTAACTGCATTTGACGACGATCCTATTATTGAATCACATTTACCAAATTAGGGACTCAATTGATCACTTTCAAAATTGGAGGACCCAATTGAAACGAACCCGCAAATATAGGGACCTCCGAACCTATTAAACCGAACAAATAATATTATCTAAAATACTTTTTTAATTTCCAGATCATAGAATTCGTAATATTCACACAATTTCTGGTTTAAACAAATATAACATAACATACTTCTAAATGATCCTATCTATATATTTTATTCTTAAATAGTATAATTTGAAAAGTAACTGGAGTCAACAACGAAATGATGCTATCACATTTAAGTTTAATAAAAGTTTATGTTATTTGTGTATTTATATATTTCTAAATAAATTTATAATATTTTTTTTTTGGTTTATTAAGTTTTTAAAACTTTTATACTTTTTAATTAAGTTATTATAATTAAATTTTTTGTTAATTAAATAACGTAATTATTATTTTGTTTTATTATTTTGTGTGTGTTAAGAAATATTAAATTTTTAATTAATATAAAACATATTATAGTTGATTAAAAAAATAAAAATTATTTATTATTTTATATGAATCATAATATTATTTTATACTAATTATAAAACATCAATTTTTTTATATAAAAAAATGGACAACTAAGTTCACTAAACAAAATAGCATTCAATTAACAAAGGAAATCCAATTAAAATAATTTAATAGATAAATATAACATTTTTGAATAATCAATAATTAAAAATATTTAATGAAAATTTAATCATAAATATTAAAATTTATAAAAAAACTTGAAATTAATTAAGTCTGACATTTATCCATATAACTCCAACATCTGGTGTCGTCAGTGCTACACAGGTTAAAAATGAAATAAAACTCTGATTTTTTTAAAACAATTAAGGTGTTCATTTACTAATTATAGGAGTACAGGTAGAAAAATTGAACTAATGGATAACCGTAAAACGAAAAATGTATGAAGAATGGTAATCTAAACCAAAGTGGCCCAATCTGGTGGATGTTTCTGGCATGAATGGGGCGTACCATAATCATACCGCAATTTCATTTGTGACTTAAAGTCTTGAATCATCCCAAAGCCCCCAAAAAGTTATCCCAACCAAAAGTCCATTCAGATATCGGAATCTAAGATCTACCAAACCTTGTTTAGTCAGAATCTAAAATTCTCCGAAACCTATTTCTCCCAATACTCGTATAATCCGAATCTCCATCTCTTTCTTCTTTCTCCAGATTGTTTCAGTTTTCGGCTATGGAAGCTGTTCCGGATCAAGACACTAGTATATGCACTCACTGGTAAAACTCTTTATGTCAAAATTGATTATTTTGTTCAATTGCTTTATGTCAAAGTTGTAATAATAAATAAAATTGTGGGAAATTGAGATTATTTGTTTGATAAATGGAAGCATTGACTTTGTTTTTATGCATGATGTTTGTTTCTTTACATTAATGATATGATTTCAGTGATCGGGCTGTACCTGTTGCAAATATTGACTTGCATTATGCTCATTGCTCTCGGAAACTTGAAAAATGCAAAATCTGTGGTGATATGGTTCCTAGAAAAAACCTGGAGGATCATTATTTAAACACACATGCACCGGTACGTGAAGTTCTATGTTATTTGCTTTCTGTTTTCCCAGGTTCAATTGTGTGGAATGTACAGGAAATTCGTCTTACTGGGAATCATTTTGTGTAATTGGAAGACAATAATTTTGGTAGAGAGTCCTAGGATTCTTGACTGCCTAGTACATAGTTCAGAGCAAATCAAATTTTGAAGACATATCCTGAACTTAGGTGCTGACCTCTACACGCTGAGTTCTTAGCATTGACAAGAGTGAAAAATTGCAATGCTTTTATTTAAAAAATTGTCAATCTCATTTAGTTTATTTTGTTTCTGCATTTAGCATAGATGCAAACACATGCAGTGTTTTATAATCTTGTGGAAGAATATAATTAAAATGAAGTGAGGGTTCTTGGGTTTTAAAACACCGCAATATATGCATGGGCACCAAAAGTTCTTGCAAGCTTCAGGAAGAAACAATTAGAACCCAAAACGGGTTCTGAGCAAAAGCTGAGAAAAACAGAAATAAAAGAAAATACTAATGTTTTTTGAATTACTAACAACAAATCAATGAATCAAATGAGATGATTTTTTTCATGGGTTTCCCCTTTCTTGAAGACTATAACAGAGCAAATGCTTAGTTCCCAAATCTAATTGATCTGAATGCCTTTCCTTCTACAAGGCTTTTCCAACTATAGCAACTTACTAATTGTATAACCAGTCTCTATCTAATTCTATAACTTCCTAAATTCTATTAGGACGACATTACAAGCAAAGAAGAGCCTAAGAACCGTCATAGTTTACTGAGTAAGAAACATTCACTAGAACACCTCTAGAAGTCCTCTTACCATAACAAGCAGAGGAAATAATGTACTTTGTTGCCTGGAAAACTTGAAATCTGGGAGGGCATGCTAAGAAGATTTCAGAGAGGGATGTCTGATGGGTATTTTAAATACTTCATCACCCATCCTAAAGTTGAATTGGACTTAAGAATACTGGTCAATTAAAAATTAATTCATAAACACATGGATTGTTTGGATTTATGAATGACTTGCCTGGAAAGATGGACTGCTGGATATATGATAATTTATTTGGATACTGTTGGTCAAGTGAAGGTCTCATCAATGGGGATATAAAAAATTATTCTTAAAGTAGATTTATTAGTGGTTTTTTTATTCCCGCTTTATTTCATAGAGTATAATTTCATTCTCTCCTATTTGAGGTTTATGAGGTATCATGTAAAGAAGATGAAAAGTTTGCTGTAGTATGCAAATGTATTTTACTAATTGATTGTATCATGGTTATTATATGATACATGACCGTGGATGCTTAAATCTATATTTTCTGCAAATCTTATTAGGTATGAGCCTTCAATGAAAGACCCCATCATATCTTTAAAGGAAGAAAAATGGAAGAATAATAAAATCTGGAATACTGGTTCAGTAGATGTGTTAGGGTTAACATCATCCTTATAAACAATGAAATAGTTGTGTACCAATACTTGCATTTTCTACATTCAACTGATAACTAATGCGCTTGGATACTGCATTGATTCATATGAAGGAAATATCTAAGCCTCTAAGGAAAAGCAGAGAATCTAAACTGTATAACACGAGACATAGAAACACACATAAGAAAGAAACATGGAATGATTGTCTATCAATGAACTACAAATGAAAATTGTATGTTATCCTCTTTATCTTCTGAATATTTTAAAAACAGTTGTGTTGAAAATCAAATATGTATTTTATCTAATACATGTATCATATTTGTGCATCATAACTGGCTATATGTGTACCACCTCCTTGGAACCCAGCCTCCATGGCAAACTGTAATGGTCTTAAAGTCAGATTCAAAATCCACCTTTGTTTTAGTTCTAAACTAAGAGATGGTTTGGCGCAGGTTTCTTGTTCATTATGCAGTGAGACAATGGAGCGTGATATTTTAGATATCCATAAAGGTGAAGAATGCCCTCAAAGGATTGTCACTTGTGAGTTCTGTGAGTTTCCATTGCCAGCAATTGATCTGGCTGAGCATCAGGTAGTGTTTATAAAGAATTTTCAAGCTGAGATCTTATATACTTTTGCTCTAATATCAGTTTAATATTTGTAACTTTCAGGAAGTATGTGGGAATCGAACAGAACTTTGTCACATATGTAACAAATATGTTAGACTTCGTGAAAGATTCAGCCATGAAGGTCGGTGCAATGGCATTATCCAAGATACTTCTGTGGGCTCTTCAAGGTAGGAAATTACAGCATTTTTGTGAACAATCTCTGAATATTTTATAATTTTGTTCACAATTTCTCAGTTGTAGGATTATATGTTATTTTTCATAGACCAAAGTCCAGCAATCTCATTATAGTGTGCATATATTTTTTTCACTATGCATGTATATGTCTACACTTTTTCCCCATTTTTTACTTGCTATCATCCGTTCTGAGGGTTAAGGAATGATTGTGTATCCCTATTGTCTTCTACTTGTGTCTAATTTTGGGCCACACGTGCAAGTATTAAGTGCATGATTGCACCGTTTACCAGGACCCTGTTATTAGTAGAGTTAATGCTTGTGTAGCTGTTCCATTTCAAGCTTCAACTGACACTATAGGTTTGGTTACTTCATGTAGCAGACATAAATCCAGTCTCGAGCCTTCATTCAACATGTTAAGCTGTAAGGAGTATTGGTGCTTGAAATGGTACCAGCAGCTCTATGATCAAGTGGTTATGAATTTTTTCCTTGCCAACCCATTCATAACCAAGTTGAACTTTAGATCTAGGTGGAGTGGGCATTATTCATGTATAAAAGCCCAATGGAATCTTGCATGAATGAATGTATTAGATATAAAACCAATATTGAACCTCCGACCCAATAGTTTAAGCTTAGTTAAGTTAGTCCATAACATTTCATATAGCTAGAAATTGAGCCTCCTAACCTTGTGTTTGGATAGGAATTCTATACTTTCCAGAAAATTCAAATACATTGAATTTTTATTGTTCATTTCAAATGTCTTATTTCGATAAGACAATTCACAATTATTAAATTTTTTTTCTTACTTGAGTAGAGTATTCAAATTACTGCTAAATAAAAAATTACCACCAAATATGTTTTTTCTTGGAGACAAGAAACCAGATTTCAAATTCAGTTTAAGAAATTATCACACAAATCTTACTGCACAATGTATGATCACACTCTAATTAGGAAAAACATAATACAGAAAACATCCAACAACTTACAAGGGAAGAAAATCCCTTCTACACCAGACAAGCCTCTGAAAAAAAATACACACACCACTAGGAGGAACCGTTTCCTCCTTAAAAGATAACCCTTACTAGATTAAATAACTTCCTCTAACCACCAATAAACTGTCCAACTACTGTTAATTGTTTTGTAACTTTTAATTTTGAACCTTTTTCCTAACATACAGCTTAAAAGTCTTATCAATACTTCCCGGATTCCTAACAACCTTGTCTTCAAGGTGAAAATTTGGAAATTGATTGTGAATGGTCCTTATCTTTTCCTTCTTCAGGCTCCTCTTCCTCTTCATTCTCCCCCAAAATTAACACCCGAAGGTTCTTATCAGGACATTTATGACTAGGACTCTATGGTCCTCCACATTGAAAACATCTGCCCTCTTCCCTTCACTTAATATATTCAGGGTAGGGTAAATTCCGCAATCCCCTCGTTCTGTTTTCACCTGAATTCGAACTGCCCACCTTAGACTCCAAGGTTACTCCCCCTCCATCTCTTCTAGCCATGCTAATGTGACTGGAACTCCCTGGTTCATTCCGAGTCCCCTTCAACGTTCTACTCGAGAAACATTCCCCTACTTCCTTGAAAACGACTTTGATACAAATTACTTCTAGTTGTTGTCCTCTCCCTAGACCTTACATCACTTGAAACTCCTTCCACATCTCTAGCGATCTCCATGGCACTCAATAGATCCTTGGGATTGTGTGGTCAAAAAGCTAATATGATGTCTGTCATTGTCTCCAATCCATAGTGTGGTTCAATCCCACTTGCAATGATAGGGAATCGTTTTTTCAACACACCAAAACTTCTTTCAATAACATTTCTCAACGATGAATGGCGATGATTAAACAACTCGCGTGGATTCTGCGGTCCTCTACGTGTATATTCTTTAAGGTGATATCTGACGCCTCTATATGGAGTTAAAACTGTGCTTTTCAACATAAATCCAGCATCACCGAGGTAGTATTTTTCTAGAATGTTGTACACATAAAGGTATTTAGTGACTAATAAATAAAATCTTCACAAATGCAATATACACACTGACCTTGGGGGATAACCAACAGATCCTCTCGATTAAGAGCATTTTTTAAAATTCTAGAGTCAAATGCAGTGCCTTCCCACCCAGCTAGAATGTATGTGAATTTGATATCAAAATCACACGCCGCAAACACATTTTGAGTTGGCCAATCTTTTCTTCCTCGAAATCTCGCTGCATCTAATCTTGGCACCTTCACACGAACATGAGTACCGTCTATGACCCCTAAACAATCCTAAATATACAATTAACAAGTCATCATAGCACTCATTATTTTGTATCATCCTTTGATAAAAATAACATCTTCAAATATGTAGAAATTTGTACCTTAAAGTACGGGTAAAATCGATTGTTGTTCAAGAGATATGGATGAACCTCATTTCCTGAGGGTTGAATTAAAAATTCAGATTCCAAAGTTAAAATAACATCCAACACATTGTGGAAGTGTTTGCTAACCGTCGAACCAAATCGATGAAAGAAAAATGGTACACTTTGATTCTTCACATTATGGCCAATTATATGCAGAAATTGAGTAACTTGTTCCTCCACTGTCGACCGAATGACCTCCTTAACTAACCCAGTTGATCTGAGTCTCTCACAAAATGCACGTTCTGCTTCCAAAAACCTGCAACGCATACAAAGGGTTAGCCTGTTGCAGTTACAAACCATATCGTTCAACATGTACAGGTTCATGGAACCCATTTTTGGCGAAGCCCACGGCATCATGGGGCTGCTACTGCATGTACAAGTTCATGGATCCCATTTTCGGCGAAGCACACGGCATCCGCTGATGGAAAGCGTTGGCCTTCACCCTACACAGAACCGTCTTCCTCCTCCTCTCCACCTCGATCTCCATCAACCTATACTTACATTTGCATTCGTCCATGGCCACCACCACCACATGTCCTCCAACGCACAAACCTTCATCCTGCAACATCTCCCTCATCTCCCTCCTCTCCGTCCTCCCTTTCACGCTGGACCCAACCATTGCTGTGGAAACGATGACGGAATGCAGCATTGGAACTGGATATGCTTACCGAGTACGCATCATTTCGAACTTCTTCTCCAAGCTGGAACCGGATACGCCTCGCCTGCAACTCCTTCCAAAAGGTCAAACCGGTTAGGCTATTCTTTGTAACCGAATACACATCCCGTCTTCAACTCCCTCGTCATCGTCAACCACGTTCTTCCTCATCCATTAACCACTGTCTTGCTCTTCATCTACATCACACACCTTCAACCTGCAACAACCACATCAAAATCCAAAAAGAAACATTACCTCTACTCCGTGCTCACTGAGAAGACAATACTCCAGCACACAGACACACTTCTCAGACACTTTTCTCACTTGCCCAAAGCTGCTCAAACTAAAGCTCTTCAAACTTAGCTCTCTATGTGCACACACGCATCAACACAGACCAAACTCATCTATCAAGCACGGTCTTATTAATAGTCTTCATGGTCAGACCTTTGTTTTCAAATTCAAACCTCAATGTCTCCTTTCCAGTGAATTGTATAGTCAAACAAAGAATCTCGCCAGCTATTATGGCTGCAAAAGCACGCTGCAAAAGCCAGAAATGCATTGGCGAGGACAGTGGAAAGTGGTAAATCACATGGGCAGCAACAATGGACTTTACTCGTGAAAGCACAGTGCATGGGTTTTTTATATTATGTTTGGTATGGTTGGAATCAGTTCTGAATAACATCAGAATCGAATATGCATTTTTTATATTATGCATGGTTGAACGGTGTGCTTGGAAATTTGATAATAGTACAGGGCAAAGCAGTCTTTTTCGCCCAAATCAACGCAAATCTTCTCAAATTAGCGGGATGGTGTAAACACTCAAATCTCGCAAATCTTCGCTTTTTTATCCGTCCAAATCGTCGCAAGCGAACATCACTTGAACCTCAAATCCGTCTTCAGTATTTCACGTAAACAGTGAAATACCTTCAAACGAACACAGGCTAAAAGATAATCCCTACTAGATTAAATAACTTTCTCTAACCACTCATAAACTGTCCAACTACTGTTAACTGTTTTGTAACTTCTAATTTTGAACCTTTTTCCTAACATACACCTTAAAAGTCTTATCAAAATAACACTAGTAACACTGATTGAAAAAGAAATCCGTATAGACATTGATATAAATTAGCCACTACAAGCTCCAAAAGAAAACTATGATTGACATCCCCTGAAAAACAACTCCATCGACATTGGTCAAGAAAACCTTGACAAACATCAATTGAAAAGTAGCTCTCGTGAAAATACTTTTAACAATGCCAATCAAAAAATAAACTCTATCAAGTCTACTAAAAAACTCTAACTTACATCAACCAAAAAATAGTTTCATCGATGTCAATTAAAAACTCCGGCTAACATTATCAGCTGAGAAATAGATTTATCTATTTTGGTCTAGATAACCTTAATTTTAATTCTGGTTGAAAAATAACCTGGACGTAGGTTTTGTCAACATTGGTCAAAAAACAACCCTGACTAACATTAACCAAAAATAATCCAAGGTGATGCCCAACCAAAAGATTCATGTTTGACCTCATTCGATAAACAATGTTGATGTTGTCAAAGAAAACACTATCGGGAATTGAGAAATATCATCGAACTATATCAACACAAAATGAAAAGTTGGTGATGGCAACTGAAAAATAAATGCAGTCGACTTTAACACGAGAAAAACTTAGTCAACATCTATCTTCAAAACGATGTTGTGTTGACAATGGTTGGACCTCGATCTAGGTGAAAGCCAAGACCTTAATTGAGCCAACACGACCTCAGCTAAATCTGCTTGAAGCTACCCTGATCAACGCTTAAAAGGAGAAGGAATATAAAGAGAAGAGACATACATTTAGTAAACAATTTCAAATTCTTACTTTTAAAGTAATATTTGAAATTTTGTATTTTTAAATTTTCAAATTATTCTCATAAATTCCTAAAATTTTAATTTATTTTAGGATGTTTTCTCTGAACAAAATATTGTCCTAAAATATTTCTAATTCTCAATAAAAATGAATTACTCCCTAAAAATTCTCCACCCAAATATACTAGAATGTTAATTCTTCTTTTCTATATTTATATTGCTGCTGAAGAATTATCGTGTTGCAACTGTTTAATTATTGATAGGAATAATTATGTTTACAAGCTTTCATAGTGCATGTCAGTACTATTATTAAGTGTAAAATCATTCACGTGCTTTCACCCAATAACATAAATGTTTGAGAATGTTGGTTTATGACACTGCAAAATAGTTCTTGTGAGATTTTAGGCTGAAAACAGTCAAGTTCCAATGCATATCCTGCTATGAACTATCCGTCTGAGCAATGTCACCAGATTTAATGTCATGCATCCTATCATACTTCCCTCCATATCATGCCATCACTCCCATTTTGTTCACTGGCCTCTTCTGTCCTGTTCTAGGTGTTGGAATTTTGATTTAGCCCTATGGCTTGGTCCTCGGTGTTCATGTTAATAATTGTTTTTATATTCAGCATCTCTCTCAATCTACTTGTTATCCAAGAGTCTTCTTATCGCAACCGAAATTGCGGGATGACAAACCATAAAAGAATGGGTTTGAAAAAAGGTTTTGGAGTTGCCACCTTGGAAAAATTATGAAAAACCATAAAATAAGATATGATATACATAAACCGGATTTTGGATTCGGGAGTTGGTTACACGTAGGGAAGGTATTAGCATCTGAATACTTTGCTTGTACTTATTGTCATTCAGAATGAGAAATCAGGGTTACGTAGTTATGTATAAAAGATTGTTTGTTTGAAATGTTGATGTTTTTAGTTTTTGAAGATTTTGGATTTTTTTGATAGTTTTGTGAAGATTGAGAAAATAAAAATAATAAGTGCTGAGCCGACGTGGACGGTCTGAAAGACACCAAAATAAAAAAGAAAATATTTTTTATTTTCTTGAAATTTTTTATTTAATTTTTTACATTTTTTTACAAAAAGAAATTTGAAAATAGGTATCACATTATGTGAGGTCCAAAAGAAATAAGGAAAACATTATTTTTATGATTTTTAATACAAAATATTTGTGAATAGTAAAAATAATGTTACAAGAAGAAAATGTCAAAGGTAGTGTAAAAGAGCATGATATTAAGACATAATATAATGCCTAAATTAAAAAAAAATGGAAATGACGTACTTTTCAACTTTACTGCTACCTTTTCACATATCTTTCAAACTTTTAGTGCTGTAAGGATTTCTTTCTTGTCAATGTAGAGCCCTTTTATCAAGAACTTTTTCCCTTTATACTTTCCTACTATGTATCTTTTTTTTTTCGTTTTTTTTCCTTGTCCTCCTTTTACGATGGAACGAGTATTGTAATATTTTTGTAATGTTGTCTTAATTATAAATTAATTAATAATGAACAATATAGGAAAGAATTGGTCTTCAACATCTGAATTTGATTTCGTCATTTTAATAAAGGTTTCAACAAGTGCTTGTGTTGTAGTTAAATTTCTTATGTAAGAATCATGATACGCCACCCTCTGCATATCATTGTTGTATGATTTATTTCTATCATTTTTCATTCTTCACAAGGTGTCTCATGCTTACAATTAATGCATTTCTTTTGTCTTATGTGAAGGAATGTGAGGGAAACCGAGGGAGATCAAGGTGCTAGAAGAAGGCCGCAGAATGACTTCTCAACTAAACGCCTTCTTTTCACTATAGCCATCACTGGTATTGCTGTCATACTGGGATCTTTTTTTCTACAGAGGAAGGCAGAGCCCAGTGATGTGCATTAGCAACGAAACCAAAACCTTTTAGGATTCTGCCTTTTCTGTACAATTCATTCCCCTGCATCAGAAGCCGTCTCATATATACTTTTGCTAATGTAGTAGAAGTGAAGAACACATCGGCATTGTCATTATAGAAAATATATGTAGTTACATGCTTCTTTTGTTGACAATATTTCAGTATTTCAGGAGATTTTCTGTTCCTTTTCATTCATTCTGATGGTAATTTCTAGAAATGGAACGCTCTGCTAAGAATTCTGTTGAAGAATCTTTACCATGTGTTATTTTTTTACCACAATGTTAAAGCATGTGTGAAAGGTCATTTGCACCAAATATTTTTATTTAAAATCAAAATCAAAATTAGAAAGTTAATAAAATAAATATCAAAACTGTTTCTAAAGATAATGTTATAAAATTGCTGTCACATGCTAGACTGGGTGTGACCATTGGGACAGCCTGGATTATATATTACAGTGCTAAATTGGAAGTTGCAATGTAAGAGCGGTTATACTTAAACTTTTCCATGCAAAAAAAAAAAAATAGTGCGAAATTAGGTGCCGCAATAAACAATTTCCCAACACATATCATTATTCGGAATGTTACAAAAGACAAGGGAATACTACAAATTTTGCAACTAACACATGTGTTCCTTATGCAGTCTGATGTTTGTTGAGGGTTTAACGTAGATAAATCACAAATCCTAAACGTACACGGTTACCTTTGAGTAAAAGCATATATATGACCATGAAATCGAACAAGTAAATAATAGACAGAAAAAATGCTTGCCCTTTAGTTGAAGCAAAACCTGACCAAAGACTCTTCTGAAGAAACTCAAGAACTTGAATATCAGATAAATACTCAGCACCAAAACTACATTTGCAAGTGACAAAGATCATCACCATGGCATCACCAGCAGTGAAGCTTTATGTGGAAGACGATCAAGTGAGACATTGTTTTCCTACTTTTATGATCGATTAAGGCATTGCATAACAGATTAATGTTCTGAGATTACTGCAGGTGGTTATGGACAATGGCATAGTGCAAGTGTATTTATCCAACCCTGGTGGATTTGTTACCAGAATTCAATATAGTGGCATTGATAATCTGCTTGAAACTCGTAACAAAAGTGGAGATAGAGGGTATGCATGTGTTTGAAACTCAGACTCAGATTTGATGAGTGTGCTTCACAATTTTTCCCCATTGTTATGATTATTTTAGATCATGATTTCATAGGTACTGGGACGTTGTTTGGAGTGTAGCTGGAAGTACAGGAACCACGGGCACATTTGAACGGTACATGGTTATAATTTTCGTTTAAAGAATTATCATCTTTTTATTATTGCATCAAACCAAGTAATGGGATGATTGTGAGAATATAAATATAATTTTATCTATTTTAGATATTGTCTCTAAATTTTTTTACTGTTTTATCTCTAGAAATTTATTTCAAAAAATTGAAAAAGAAATATACATTTAAGTTATTCTTAACTTCACTTTCTAAATAGGATTATTGAGTACCAAAATAAATACACTAATAGAGATGATGAAAAAGGTAAACGACATATAAAAAACTTATAAATTTGTTGTCTTAAAATCTCATATTAAAAATATATCTTATATGAATTCAACTATATCTTATTGTTATTAAATTGGATTCATATCTTACTGTCTATAATTTATATGTCATTATTATTAAGTTTGTCCCATGAATCCCTTCCAAACACACAGTAATGAATCTAAGTTGCATGTTAAATGTTCTATTAATTAGCGTTCTTTCCCAGATGAATGTTCCATCCAATGTTTTTAATTTACTTGCATACCCTTTCTTATGTTGGTGAAAACTTATATTTAAAAAATGTTATTTAGATTAAGATTAATTATAGGTATTTTAAATGCCTTTCATAAATTAAGAATATACTGTGTTAGAGATATTCCATGTGTAAATAACAATGATGAAGGTGGTTTTCAATTAATGGTGTGCAGGATTGTGGGAACAAGTTTTAGTGTGATAGTGGAAAATGAGAAAGAGGTTGAAATCTCATTCACAAGTAAGTGGGATCCATCTCTAAAGGGAGAGAAAGCACCTCTTAATATTGATAAGAGGCAAGTTACATATTAAAACCATGAAATCAATAATCTATTAATTAATAGTAATTAATAATTGATTAATCACATTTACACAAAATTTCTGTGCAGGTATGTGATGCTTTCCAATTCCTCAGGATTTTACTCCTACACCATCTTTGAACATTTACAGGACTGGCCTGCTTTCAACATACCTCAAATAAGGACTGTTTACAAACTTAGTAAAGAAAAGTAAGGATAATTAACCTTAATTATGACTAATCTCATGCTTAATCTTGTTTGAAAATTAATTATGATGTTAGTGTGGAAAAACGATTTTGAGAAATTATATTTTTGCAGGTTTCATTACATGGTGGTGTCTGATAATAGACAAAGATTTATGCCTCTCCCTGATGACAGATTGCCAGGAAGAGGGGAAGAACTTGTTCCACCAGAAGCAGTTTTGCTTGTTAATCCTTTGGAGCCAGAGTTTAAGGGAGAGGTACATTTCAATTCAAAAATAATAATAATAATACTTAATTAAGTTTTAAGTATCTTTTAAATTTCAGTATTTTTTAATTATAATTTTTAATTATTTTTTGTCATTGTATAAAAAGTAAAATTAAGAATTCTGAAAACCATTATTTCTCTTTGTCATGCCTCAAATAATAAAAAGAAAAAAACTCTAAATTTTAATCTTTAAATTTTCCTGAAATACGTCATCTTAGGGACCCTTTATGAAATAATATAATAGCTCAAAGTTGAAATTAGTGATTTCTTTTAATTGTTAAAAATATTTGTAATTAAAAATACCCTTAATTTATAACACTATATATGGTTAATGAAATTTATTATTTATTGATTAAGGTTGATGACAAGTACCAATACTCAAGTGAAAACAAAGATCTTATGGTTCATGGATGGATAAGTTCTCAATCTCAAACAGACCCATTTGTAGGGTTTTGGGTAATCATACCAAGCAATGAGTTTCGTTCAGGTGGCCTAGTAAAACAGAACCTTACTTCCCATGTCGGCCCAATAAGCCTGGCTGTAAGTTCCTTTTTCCAACTCAACTATACTGCATTTCTTCTTGCACTACCGTAACTTCAATCTTTACCACATATTTTTTTTATCTTGTATAATACAAATTTATATTTTGGATTGTGCCTTTAAAAAAAAAAAATTTATTTTAAATTACATGATTTGAAATACAAAACGAAAAAATAATTTTAGATTGTTTAATTTGAAATATGAATATATTTTAAATTATATACAAAAGATTTCATTCTAGATTTTGTATTTTGAAATACAATTTATATTTTAAATTGTATAACCAGAATATAAATATTTAGAATTTATAGAGGTGCAAGTAGAGATTGTCCAATTATAAATTTCATCATTTAATTAACATATAGTCATATTTTTCAAATTTTTATGCATGTTATAATCATGTTGATAATAGACAACATTGTTTGTCAAAATTAGTTATAAAATAACACTGTTTATTGATAACACACTAACACTAGATTACAGATTTAACATAATAACAAAATATAAGAAAATTGATGGTAAACTATGTGAAAAAAAAAAGTGGTCTAATAATTTTGTCAAATGAACTTATTAATGAGGGATATTTTATATGAAATATTTTGTTAGATGTATTCGTATCGATGTGCTGAATGAAAAATAAACACGTAACATTATGTTTGTGTCAGATGTTTCTGAGTGCTCATTACGCAGGAGAAGATATAGTTCTGAAATTGCAACCAAAGGAGCCATGGAAGAAAGTTTTTGGGCCAACTTTTGTTTATCTTAACACTTTATTAGATGGTGATGACCCCAAAGTGCTATGGGAAGATGCTAAAGATAAGGTCTTTTCATTCTCATTATCAACTTGTTAAACTTCTCAACTATTACTTACTATTAGAATGTGAGACTTTTCTAACAAATATTCATAGCACTTTATAAAATCTATAAGAAAATTCATTTGTTTCGAAAAAGCTTCATGAAATATCAAAAAAATCTAAATCCAAAATGGGTTTTAGACGAAGGCAGATGTTCAAAGTTGGCCCTATGATTTTCCAGCCTCCGAAGATTTTCAGAAGTCTACCCAACGAGGCAGTGTCTGTGGCACATTACTAGTCCAAGACAGGTAAAAAAACAGTTATGATACCATGAAAAATTAGGAACAAGATGAAACTTTTTGCAAAAGCCAAAGATTAAAGTGAGTTACTAATATGTTTCCTATGACAATTTTTGTCAGGTTTTTGAGTGATGAGTATATAATAGCAGAAGGCGCTTATATAGGAGTGGCAGCACCAGGAGAATCTGGATCATGGCAAAGAGAATGCAAGGTTTAAGCAAATGATGGATGCATATGTTTCTTTTATAACCCAAAATTTGAGTTCTGTTTTCTTTTTCTCTGAGTCAAATAATCAAACACTTTCAATGCCTTTTTGTTTGGTTAGGGATACCAATTTTGGAGCAAAGCAAACGAGAAAGGATACTTCTCAATCGAGAATATACGCAGTGGGAATTACAATCTCTATGCATGGGTTCCAGGTTTCATTGGAGAGTATTGGAGTAATGTTCTCCTCACCATAACACCAGGTTCTGTTCTCTGTTAAGTGCATATTGAATCAATATAATGAGGTATTAAACAATCATATCAAAAACCCATTTTCATCATCTAAATGAAAAATCAAAACATCAATTTCTCATTTCTTTCATTTGTTATTGTGTTTAAGCTTAGGAGGATAATTCCTTCCTACTACTGATGAGTTGTTGGGTTTTTTGAACCTTCATTGAAACTTCCAAATATACTGATTGAAAGCTAAAAACCTGAGGAATAATCCAAATTCGAGAATGCCACCCATCAATGTTCATATCCTTTAATTTAATGTACATCATAATTTGAGAATAAACAAGTATTCACTTTACAGAGATGATGATTTGTGAAAGTGTATGAAAAATGCAATATGTAGGTTGTGAAATTGATGTTGGTGAGATTGTTTTTTAGGCTCCAAGAGATGGCCCAACATTATGGGAGATAGGCATTCCAGATCGTTCTGCTGCTGAATTCTATGTTCCTGATCCCAATCCCAACTACATCAATAAGCTTTATGTTCATCATCCAGACAAGTCAGATCCTATTCACACAAATAAATAACAACTTATTCAACATTTTCAGCTTTCTGCTCCCACCAAAACTACTAATCATTCTTAAATTTGGTTCATTCTTCACAGGTATAGGCAATATGGGTTGTGGGAAAGGTATGCAGAATTATACCCAAATGAAGATTTAATTTACACTGTGGGTGTAAGTGATTATACAAAAGATTGGTTCTTTGCACAGGTCACAAGGTATGTTAGTGCGCTAAAACTACTACTTTTAAGAAGACAAATCATTGTATAAAAACTATTGAGATGAAATTCCAGCCGAGAACATTGTCTTTATAAACACTTATTTCATCCATTAAATCTTATATTGGTTAAAAAATACAGAAAGAAAGAAGATGGCAGTTACCAAGGAACTACATGGCAAATTAAGTTCAACCTCGATGACACAGAGGCAAGTAAAATCTACAAACTGCGGTTGGCACTTGCAAGTGCAAATGTGTCAGAATTACAGGTTCAAAACCTCATGAAAAACCTATATATATATATATATATATATATATATATATATATATATATATGTATGTATATATTTCTCCATCAATTTCTTAACATGTTTTCACTTTCTATGGCTTGTCTAATCCCATGATGTTTTTGGATCGAATATTAAGGTTAGAGTGAATGATCCGGAACAAGACCCTCCTGTGTTTACTACAGGGGTGATTGGAAAAGACTTTTCAATAGCTAGACATGGAATTCATGGACTCTATTGGCTATTCAACATTGATGTGTCTGGGTTTTTGCTAGTAAAAGGTGTTAACACTCTGTTTTTAACTCAAACTGTGGCAAATGGTCCCTTGGCTCGCTTTCAGGGAGTTATGTATGATTATATACGCCTAGAAGGTCCTAACCCTTTTTCTGCTATAAAAGAGTATTAAGTTATATCGTTGAATATGAAAATGCTCCTATCTACAACACCTTTTAAAATTGCATGTATGTTACCTTGTTTGCTTGTATTTGATATGTTGTGTATGAAGATATTCTACATTGGACTCTATTACAAATTGCAGACAGGGGAAGGGTTTCTTCGGCTTTCTTCTTGTTTGCCAACTTTATAATGGTTTTGTTTGATTATTTTTTTCTTAAAGAGGTTTCATGTTTTTTGTTTCTGACAAGTAAAACTGTTACAGACTTAACCTATACTAATTTGAAAAATAAGTAATAATTTCATTCTAATAAAACAGAATTAAAAGATTAAAATTCACTTATATATTACTAAATATCAATCATACAAATATTGATAGTTTCAATTAATAATTTAATTAGAAAATAAAATAAAAATCGTAAATATAGTTAAAATTTTCGATAAAAAATTTAATTAAGTAATAAAATAAATTGTAATAATAATTTCGTTCTATTAAGATAAACTATTCATTTTTTCTTTGTGTCTTCTTAAGTTTCTCTTAAATAGCTGCATCAAGATATATTACATAGTTATAAATTACTGGGATATTTTGAGTCTGTTCTTGATATCTTGAGCAGCGTCTGTAGCATCAACCTGCTTCTTGGTAGCTTCGAGTTCAGCTTCACTTGCCTCTTGCTCGTTTCTTGCAGTAATTGTCTTTACCTGTTTTTCACACACAAAATCTTGTATCACACAGCTATTAAAAAACTAACACACAAAAAAACACAGAAACAAAGGACGTGTTTGGATTTCGAACCTGACCCACAAAAAATGCTTTTACATATCGAAAACCTTCTTGTACAGAAGCTGCAAACGATAAGCAACTCCTCCTTAAACGAGATCCAAACGGGGTCTTATTGTGATCTGAAGATGAATTATCCATGTCTTCTTCCCTTTTACTTGAAATATTATTCATAACATTTCCTGCAAAACTAAAAAAAGAAAAATAATATATTCTTCCCTTTGAAATTCAGAGTTTAGAAAGTATTAACAATATCATCTCCATACGAATAACAAATTGAACCAATTTTATGTTTAAGAAACACAATGAGATGAGTTAGAATTACACGTTTCAGGAATCTGATTTCTTTGTTTACGTGGCAGCTATATACATTATCCGTCTCACTTAGGTTTTTGCCATAAATTCATTTATTATTGCAGCGTATCCTTCGATTGAGAACTTCCAGAACTATTTATATTTTTTCTTCTAATTAAAAATATTCTTTAATTTATAAGTTTAAGTATTTTTAACAAGCAAGGGAAGTTATATGTTTGTTTATAAGGCTTAAGAATATCTATTAAATTTGAACTAGTGTGCTTTAATTAGGATAATGGAATGAGTTATGAAGTTAAGATATATAACTTGCTGAAAAATCCCGAATACTGTGATTGGTTGAATTTGGTGTAAATGTATAATCTGAAATCAGAAAGATTATTATGAATGGCTCTTAAGTGCTATATGTTTTTATCATTTGAGCTGTTATATTTGAGGTCATAATTGGTTAGAAATTGTTGTTCATGTTGAACTAGTGAAAAGGAAAAATATTGGGCTAGTTTTTTTTTTCTAAATTGGAGGTTTTTACATGTGAAATTTTAGAAGAATTGGTTTGGGAAGGAACTTGGGGTTTGGACTCAGTTTTTAAGTCATTTAAGACTTGTTTAGCTACTTAGTTTAAAAAAATTCTAGTTTGTACTATACGAACTCTGTTTGGTTCTATTTTGGGTAGTTAGTTTGATTAAATGAACTAAATTCTTGAATAAGTGGGCAAATTGGTAGTCCCTCAAAGTTAAAAACCTATTTTCAAATCAATTATTTGTGTCAAGAATACTAATTTGATCATTTGAAAAGGTATTCATCTTTTGATATATTGTTGAGCGCCACGAAGTTAGTAAGCTCTCTAACTTTTGAGCTCTGGGTGGTGGATTGGGGTGTTGAACGCCACTTTTCCCTATAGGTTTGGATAAAAATTAATTAATATATAAATTTTTTCATACAAACTGTAATTTCAATATAGTTATTATTTCTCTATTCATATATATATCTGTCTCTT